AAACAAAAACAAACAAACAAACAAACAAAAAACAAACCAATAACAAGAACAACAAAAATAAATAGTAGTGACTTAAGGATCACTTAAATGTAATTTCTTTTTTTTTTCTTTCTGGCGGAACCGGGAGATTGAACTCAGGCCCTTGAGCTTGCCAGGGAAGCGCTTATTCTACTGAGCCATCACCCCAGCCCCTAAATGCAATTTCAAAAAGAGCTGATGCAAGTGTACTGTTATGATTTTCTGTCGTTTTCTTTTTGTAATTATGGTTTTATATGTTTAAGAAACTAAAATGGAAACACTTTTATACCTTGCTCCTTTATGTGTTGTTATTCTAAAATTACCCGTGGAAACCATTTATAAAGCGTTTTAAAGAAAACACTTCAAACGAGAATTAGGAAAAAATACAGAGAAGCATCGTAGGCACACCACTTTCACGAACTATTAGTATTTCATCAATTCAACTAATCTTACCCTCAGGCACCAAATTAAAGGTTCTCTGATATGTCTATATCAAGTGTTGAGTCGGATTTTCTTTTCAGGAAGTCTTAAAAGCACACAACACATTCTGTTACTACAATTACCACTCAAGAGACAAAATAGCAGTTTCTGGCACCTTTTTAGTTTGAAAAAACTTAAGCCACAAGAAATTTAAGTCATCTTTTTCACTTATTAGATGTAAACTGAAGAAACTGCCCAACACGGCTACCTTGATTCACAGGCCTTCGCTCTTGGCAGACACTCAAAACTCCTGGACTGAATTTGAGTTATGGTAAAACCATAGGAGACACACACTGTTTTTCCTAACGTCCCTGAAAAGAGCAGTCAGTCTTCTGGGTGAAAAACCGTAGCGATGCCCTGGGCCAAACTGCTTCCTTCTAGGTCCTTGACTCGCACCGCTGCTTGGGGCGAGCACATTTTAAATTTTCAGGGCTGCATGCGATGGGTCGCTGTACGGCTTAAAGAAGCAAAGCATCCCTCTACCACTGGAGCGACTGTGAATCAACTTTAGGACCCACCCGCGAACATTTCGGCTTCTGTAGCTCTAGGTCGGGCTGACAATTCTCGGGTGATGGGGAGGCGGTGACCACTATGCTGAACCAGCAGGGACAGGTGACCCGGGGGGACCGCCAACGCCGTCGCATCCGAGCGGCCCCGGCCCGCGCGCGGCTCGCAAGAGCCGGCGACGGCTGCGGCGCGGCCCTTCCGTGCCCGCACCTCTACCCCGAGGACAGGTGAGACAGGGGGTCGGCAGGAGCAGCGGGGACGCAGCCAGAGGGAGGGGACAGCTCCTCCAAATCGGCCGCCGGAGCTCCTCGGGACCGAACCCGCAGGCGTCACAGGGAGGACCCGCGGGCCGAGCGGAGGCCTGAGCCAGAGGGCGTGGCGGCCGGGGGGCGTCCGTCCCGCCCCCGCTGCGGTCAACTCCCGCGGCCAGCGCCGCCGGCCGCGCGAAGATGGCTGCCCGAGCGCCGGGCAGTCACG